TTGAACTCTGGGCCTGGGCGCTGTCCCTCAGCTCTTCAGCTCAAGACTAGTGCTCTACCACTTGAGCCACAGTGCCACTTCCAGTTTTCTGGTGGTTTATTGGACATGAGTCTCACAGACTTTCTTGTTTGGGCTGGTTTTGAACCACGATCCTCAGATCTCAGACTTCCTGAGTAGCTAGGATTACAGGCATGAGCCACCAGAGCCTGGCTAACGTGTTCTTTAATGCGATTGAATTAATTTTAACAACTCTGAAAGTTTCCAATTGACTCCTAAATTTAAAAAAAGGAAAAAAAGTGGAACATTAATTTAGTAATAATGCAGTCTCTACCTTCCCTGCTCTCACAGAAAGAAAAATGATGCCTTCAATAGCCTTCCTAGTGACTGCTGGGGACTAGCAACATTTAAAACAAAACAGAACAAAATCTAAGAGCACACCACGAAATTATGAGTAACCTGTTTTTATGGATGACAGATTAAGGCAGAGCATACTTAAAAGTAACTGAGGACCTAATGAATGAAACCTTGGGTCTTTTCTAATTGAAAAATCAAGCCACAACTAATGGTTTGGGGTTTTTTTTGGCCAGTCATGGGGCTTGAACTCTGGGCCTGGGCACTGTCCCTGAGCTCTCTGAGCACTCCACCACTTGAACCACAGAACCCCTTCCAGTTTCCTGACAGTTAATTGGAGATGAGAGTTTCATGGATTTTCCTTGTCCGGGATCTCAGCCTCCTGAGTAGCCGGGATGGCAGGCATGAGCCACCAGTGCCCGGCTTGAATTGTACCTTTATATATTATACTTAAACCCAGAGAATGAAGGATGGAAGGAGGGTATACGTTCAGTCCTGAGACAGCAGAACTAGGGAGAAAACCTTCATCCAAGAGGCAGCTCTAAATTTTTTCTAAAGTTCCTTATCATAAGTTTTACTAACAAGTGGCATAAGTGACTTCAAAAAGTGATTTGGCAGAAAAATGTAAATCAGACAGACTTCTAAGAAATCCACACCTGTGGATGCGGCCTGACTGCTGCGACGTCGGTGCTAGCTCTATTTGAAGTGGATACTTCTTTGTCACTTTTGTAGACACACTCAGTAAGAAAGATGGGTACCTTCTTTTATTTCAGAGTTGGTTAACTGTTGATAAGGGTCTTATGGACTTTGCTGCCCTGGCTGGCTTTGAGCTGCAGTTCTCAGATCTCGGCCTCCTGGGCAGCTAGGAAGACAGGCGTGAGCCACCAGCGCCCACGTCTTTTAGTCTCACTAGCCTCAGCTGTTCATCAGCTCGCTTGCTGGGGCTCGAAGCTGTCACCATGCAATCCAAACAGGGCCCCTTCCATCTCACAGAAAGAGCCTGCACAGCGTTGCCTTACAGGGAGATCGACACGTCTTAGTGATGTCTAAGGCAGCACAACAAAATCAAACACCCTAGACAGAGATATTCACTAGCCATCTCCAGAGTGTCCAATGTTTTAGTTGTCTCCCATGACACGGGACATGTCATAGACATGTTCAGTTATATCCCAAGACGAAAATGAAAAATAAACAGCTGAGAAGAGGTAGTATGTATACATATGCCTAAAATCAGCTAACCAGAAAGTTCAGGAAATAAGGAAACTCTTTCTTGGCTCCTGCTCAAATAAAGCTATCTATTTTATTTTGATTTTTTTCATGAATTTAATTGTTGGCAACTACACTGTCATGTATTGCTTTTGGACAGAGAAAGAAGAAAACTTACATTGCAATTGAGTAAGTTAAATAATTTTAAAAAACCAAATAGATTACTTGGTAGCTAAATTTAAACTTTTTAAACATATTTAGTGAAAAGGAAAACTTACATCTACAGTGCAAAGTACATCATTAAACCCCCACACGTGATTTGAAGAACAACAAAGAGCCTTCAGAACACCCAGCCACTCTGAACTGAGGACCGTGCAACAGGCGGTAAGCTCGGAGGAGAAATTGGCTATGTCATTAATCCTAGAAAAGAAAAGCGCAACAGCAGAGAGTCACGGGGAAGCCATCACGTTAAGGACCTGCTGAACACTTTATTTCACCACTACGGAACAAGTCATTCATTTTCTGAGATTTAAGGATATAATAAATACCTTTTTGTGAAATAACCTTTAGAGCCTTAATCAGTGACAACAAAAAGACTAAATGCTTCGTAGTAATCAATAATATCAAGGAATAAACAATAGTTGTTGCCACACTTATGTAAATTGGCATTTTTTGATTATGTGAACAGAGCTGATCTAGAGCTTTACATTTTTATGGATATCTAAAGTTAAAGACACTACATAGTATAAGTAGATTCAAAGAGGTTTTTTTTTTTGTATTTTAAGGTATGTTTTTGAAACTGATTATATCACACATAGAGCATACCTAAAGTATTCTATGACTGAGGAATAAACCAGAAAGCATTATTGTTTGGGTTACAAATATTGTAGGGTAGAGCAGAGGTGAATTCAGAAATAAAGACAGGGAAATGAAGGCAAATGAGAGGCAGATGTAAGAGCAGACAAGTGCTGAAGACCTCAATTCCAAGTAGCAGCCCGGCGGCACCCCTGCCCAGGGCGGAACTTACCTGCTGGGGTCCTGGTGGCCCATGCACACGTTCATGAGGGTGTTGCAGACAAAGCTGTAGCGGTTGGCCGCATTGTCGCTGAGGATCTTGCCCAGCACCGAGTAGTTGATGCTGCGGGCTGAAGGGTTCTCAATGAAGTCCAGCATGAAGTCTGGGTCCCACCGCAGGTTGGAATTTGCAGGCATCACATTGTTATATATGGTTTGCTTTACCTTTGAACAGGCACTACTGAGGTCACAAGAAGAAAAATTAGAAACCAGCAAAAACCACAGAACAAGAGAACCATTGCATGTAAGGACATATGAAGTCCCCTAAGAAGTTCTAGGTGATGAGTTCTTAATCTCACATTCCTAACAAGCTGGGCATGGCATCCAAAGTGTAGCAATGTCTCAGTGAATCATTTACTCAATTTATGAAAGGAAAAGATAGAAAACTTTTAGTGTTAACCTTATTTTCTATATCCTTTCCAAAAGCTATTCACTAACATTATCACAAAGTATTATTAATTAAAAATGCAAATGGATTTGAGTCCTACATTGGCATCCTGGGTAAACTATTGGAGGTACATGGACCCTGTGCCACAGCACATGGGCAGTAGCGCAGCCATGAATAAGGGACATGCGTGCCGGCCTTCTGGCAGCTTCTGTTCTGTCAGGGGGTGAGGTGAGCTCTGTGATATACCTCAGCACTTTTTATAGGAGCTGGGTATGGTGGTGAGTACATATGAGTCTAGCATTTGGTGAAGCTCACAAGTTGAAGACTAGACTGGGCTACATAGCAAGACAAAGGCCGGCCAAACAAAACAAGGAAAAAACAGTCTACAGACTGTTTGCCTTAGACTGTGGCCATTGTCAACAGCTTTAAGGCAACAGATTGCTCCCTTCCATGCTTACTAAAATATAGCTTCAGTCTTCTTTCTTCAGAGTCAGTTCTGAGTGGTGTCTGTTAAAAACACAGATGTCTGGGCCTCATTGTAGGTTTTCAACAAGCGCTCCCAAACACTTGGAGTGCCAAATACTGCTTGTGTAGCAGTGGTCTAACAGAGAGAACTGGAATCGCTCAATGTGTAACAATAGTTACAGCCTTCTACACTCCGCAGTCATCTTGTTTTCAGGCAAGTAATAGAAAATTTGTCAATAACCAGGGAAAGTTGTGGTATTTTTTTAAATGACCCTCTTGTGGTCCCCTACTCTTAATCATCTTTTGCTCACTGGGCTTGCTGTGCCATTCTTTGTATTCAGCTCTTCATTCACTTTCATTAGCCACAGTTCTTAGGTTCTTAGCGTGGATCACAAAATGCTAACGGGGTGCTCTCCTGGTCCCCTAACGCCACAGACCGAGTCTGCTTTGCCTACCATAGCCTCATCTCAAGTGTTTAATAAAATGGACTTCTGCACATTGTAGAGTTACCAATTTTTTGTTCAACTACTGAATTCTACCAATCTTTACATTTGTCTTTAGAAATAATTATGCCTTTTTTCTTATTTTTTATGAGGCATACTCTACTCTTCTCAAGCACGTAGATTTCTGTACAGTGTTCTAACTGACTGGACTGGGAAACTCCTGAATTCTGCAACTCATGCCTCATTTCTGGGCTGCCTGTTCTATTTACTGTAGTCTGTTTACAAATTTCTATGTTTAATGAAATACTAGTTACAATCTAATCGGTCTCCGTGGTATATAAGCAAAAAAACCAGAGATTTTCCTTCTGAAACTATACAAACCAGAAAAAACAGCTAGAATAATGAAATCAATATGTACTTTAAGGCCAAAGGGACTTATGCTCAAATCTAGTATGGATCATGTATAAATTATGATTGAGAACAATGGCTTCTGGTAGGAAAGCCTACCAGAATTCCTGTGGTAGCTGTGAAGATTCAATATTTTCTTTTTCTTTCTGCTGGTTCTGGGGCTTGAACTCACGGCCTGGGCACTGTCCTTGAGCTTTTCTGCTCAAGGCTAGCATTCTACCACTTGAGCCATAGCTCCACTTTTGGAGATGAGTGTGTCAGGCACTTTTCTGCCTGGGCTGGCTTCAAACTCTAATCCTTAGATCTGAGCCTTCTGAATAGCTAGGATTATAGTGTGAGCCACCAGGGCCCAGCTGATTCCAGGTCTTAGTAGAGAAATAACCTGGTACCTGAGACATACCTGTCTTAAGCTACAGTAGCTATAATCAGCATTACAATTCCCCAAATGTTCCTCTCTGCATAACTATATGTGTTTTATGTAAGATTATTAAAATTGTTTTATTATACAAATAGAAATATTGCTGCACATCTAGCTTGCTTGCATACTCTGCTAATACCAAAACAATCCTAGCCACAAGATATCTCAAGAAAGTTACATTATCCGGACACCAGTGCTCACAGCTGTAAACCTAGCTACTCAAGAGGCTGAGATCTGAGGATTGTGGTTCAAAACCAGCCTGGGCAGGAAGGGCCTGTGAGACTCTTCAATTAAATACCAGAAAACCAGAAGTGGCGCTGTGGCTCAAGTGGTAGAGCGCTAGCCTTGAGCTGAAGAGCCTAGGGACAGCGCCCAGGCCCAGAGTTTAGGCCCCATGACTGAGAAAGAAAGAAAAAAAAATTGTCTTGTAATCTGGTCCATTTCCACATTTTGTCAAGACTGTGAAAACGTGATTTTTGAGGGTCTGCCTTCCACTTCGTAGTAATGCCTACAAATGAGCCAGGTACCTCAGGGCACCATCTCCAGTGCCCAGCAGATGTACGTACTGGGAGGGAGCACTGTGTGCAACAGAAAAACTTTCTGCCCTAGGAAATTTACATTCTACAGAGGAGCATGATCATAAATCAAAGTGTAACAAAAGGGAGGGGGGAAATACTGGGTTTCGACGAACGAACAGGAGCTGGGCTAGGGAAGCAGAACCATGAATGGCATATAGAAGCAAGCAGGCAGGCGGTGGCGGGAAGTCCTGAACAGCAGGTGAGAGTAAGCACAAAGGGTTGGAGAGACGGGCCTACAAAGGCCCCGGGGTGAGCGAGGTCGGGGAGACAGGCCCACCAGAAGGAGACGGGACACTATAGAGTGTTTGAATGGCTAGGGAAGGAACGAAGGAAGGAAGAGAGGGAGGAAGGAAAGAGAAAAGAGAGAAGGGAGGATAAGACAAGACAGGATATAGACAAGTAGGTAGACAGACAGGTAGGTAGTCAGACAGACGGAGAGGCAGATAGATCTGCCTGGAAAAGCTCTACAAGAGCACGTGGGGCTGAGGACCCTTGGCTGGCTCACTCGGGAATGGTAACATTTTGCAGCCTCACGGAGAGTATTAAACCCAAAGTAACACTTAAAGCCTGATTTTTAAAATGGGCTTATCAAAACCAAGGTGGTCAGAAATAAAAGCAGAGCCTGTCCCACTAGTGTAAAGGTGTGTGAGACATTTATCATCACCTCACGATGCCTTACCTAAAACATACTGCGGAACTTGTGTTGTGCTGGGGCGGTGGGCTGGCTAGGCGGGCACCCTGGCCCTTGAGCCACGCCTCCAGCTGTAAAACTTACAAAAATATAAACCCTCAAACACAAAAAATCATCCTCTTATTGTTGAAGACATGAAAGCCAAAGTTATGGTTTATGACATAAAGGTCACGGTAACGTAGGGTTAGAAAAACCCCATGATCATATACCTACATCTTTACTGTGCTTTTTCTTTTATTGCAGTTAGGTATCTTTAGTCTTTACTTCAAACTAATCTTGAATATATCAACCAGTCACATAATGGAAGTAATTGTTTTTCCCATTTCCCATTTTTTTTGGGGGGGGGTCAGGTCGTGGGGCCTGGACTCTGGGCCTGGGCGCTGTCCCTCAGTTCTTCAGCTCAAGGCTAGCGCTTTACCACTTGAGCTACAGCACTACTTCTGGCTTTTTTCTTTTTGCTTATGTGGTGCTAAGGAATCGAACCCAGGGCCTCAGGCATGCAAGACAAGCGCTCTACCACTGAGCCACCTTCCCAGCCCCATAATGGAAGTAATTGTAATGAGTTTATATTATTAAAGTGGATGGCAAAAGTGGAGCCAGGCTGTGGTCTGAGGATAGTCCAAGCAAATTCGTTAGCGAAAGGCTATCTAAAAAACTAAGCTGGGCATTGTGGAACAGACCTGTAATACCAGCTATGAAAGTAAGAGTGAGAGGAACACGGCTGGGAGTGGGCCGTAGGCAAAGAGCAGAAGAATAACTCCATCGACAGGGCGGAGGCCTGGCTAACGACCTGGACGCCTGCCTAGCAAGCACCCGCCCCAGCACCACACACAGACACACCAAACCAAGGGCGCCACCACACACAGACATGGGCTCTGGAGTTTCTTCTACTCACCTAAAGAGGTCTCCAAATTTACTTCTGAGGTGGCTACAGGACACATAGAGATCGTAGAGGTAGGCTAAGATGCACCTCTCTGGAGAAGAACACTCTGAGGGGTTGGCCACGTGCTTCACCACGCCGCACAGCCTGGGTGCAGAAGTACAAGAGCAATGAGGCACTGGTTCTGACACTGGGCATGTCATCTGCCTGTGTCTTAAAAAACACCAGGAAAAGGTACCGGATTGTTAAAACTAGTCACTACAGCACAGTGTGTTTTATAAAGGTTTCAACAACAACAACAAACAAACCCAACCAACCAAACCCTCCACACGTCACTGGGGGAATAAAGCAGTGGAAGGAACGCCTCCGAACAAGACATCTAGGGAGAGGCGCTGGGCCATCACGCTGCTCTGACTAGAATGCACAAAGAAGGGCAAAGTGGGAAACAGCACAGAACAATTATGAGCCCAGTCAGCAGGAGGACTGCAGAGTTCGCTCCTTTATGAAGAAGCAATTCTTTAAGGAAAAGCCTATCTTTAAGGGCTGGTTCTGGCGTGAATTCATAAGCTGGAGTCACATGCTCCTTGATCATCCAACTTAGAAACAAACATATCTGTGTTTTTCTTATATACAAAGATAAAGCCTCATCTTTTTAGTGACACATCTGTGGCAGGATTAGTTCTAAAGTACCACATCACAATACTGTGCTACGTTTCCCCAACTACAACTGCAGCTCTCCGTCCACAGTTCATACCACCAAAATCTCTACAGCACAGAATGACGCTTACAGTCTGTCTACCCGAGTCTAACGCTACCGTCTTGTACACTCTCAGAGTTCAGTATAACACTCCGCTCACAGTTTCTCAGATAGATGGGACTAGCGATCTGAAAAGGCCCTTAGAAATCTGGTTCACCATCCCCTCTGCTCAAAGAGGGAAATTTCTTGCACAGAGGCAAAAGCTACTTAGTAGCAGAATTAGGGGAGGCCTCTCTGCACCATTCAGGGGACAAGGAAAAGCAGGAGAGCCTGCCTCCCACAGGCTACCAACAAGAGAACGGTGGGTGTCAGAGGCGGACCCCAGGAGATGACAGAACACCAGTCACTGAGTTTCCGTATACTGTCTTAGAAGAATGGCTGGAATTAAACAACAGTTAGAAAGATTTGTTCAAGTCTGTAAGGTGCATTAGCTATGTGATGTTAAATATTTAAGCTTTATAGCATGATTGTGGTCTACTAAATTATTTCCTAAATTATAATACATTGTCTTGTATTTACAAGTTTGAGATAGTTCAGATTCTACTCCTTAATGTGTATGTACAATGAATGTATGTAACAGCCAGCACTTTTCCTTTCTCCAGAAAAGCCGCTGTTAAATTGATTCAACGTGACCAATAATCTAGAATTTGTTCCATGTGCTAGATACAAAGATGTTATCAAATTGAAGAACCCCACTACTTTTGAAGCCAAGAGCAAAAATATGGGGGGGAAACCCAGATTTTCTTTTGTCCTAACAGGCTCAAAAGGGGAAAAAAAGGGGTGAAAGGGACTTGAATCAACTCTGAAGAGCCTGCTCCACCCGGCTGGCATGGGGAGGTAGTCAGCGATTCTTCAGCCCAAATTCACTCATAATGGCAGAGACAACCTTAGGCTACAAACACAAAGGGAAAAGAAGACCGAAAATAAAATGATTTGTTTCAAGTTAGCTCTTGACAAAAAATATAATTTTAATCAAAAAGAAGAAACTGAAGAATCAAATGTCCACAATGGCAGAGTATACAACGCTTTATCTGGTGTTGGACTCCCAAATATATATATTGTAAACGCACACAAGAGAAGTTTCAAGTGTCCATTATTTACACTACATGAGGACGATGGGCACTGTCAATGACAGAATGATGTACATAAGCAACCCTGTACACTTATCAAGGGGGAGGAGCAAGTCAGAAAGGAGCAAAGAACCATACTTAACTGAAAAACATATTCTTTACAGATCTGTTATCTCCAATACATGTTTTCTGGCAAATGCTCTTTTAACTACAGTCTTATTGCAACAGCCATCAGAATTATTTTTTCTCTTAAAAGTTTTATGTAGCTGGGCACTGGTGGCTCATACTTCTACACAGAGGTGTGAGATCTGAGGATCACGGTTCAAAGCCAATCAGGGCTGAAAAGTCCCCTTGAGACCCTTACCTCCAATGAACCACCAGAAAACCAGAAGTGGTGCTGTGGCTCAAAGTGGTAGAGTGCTAGCCTTGAACAAAAGAGCTCAGGGACAGTGCCCAGGCTCTGAGTTCAAGCCCCATGACCGACCAAAAGAAAAAAGAAGTTTTATGCATTTTAGGACTGGAAATAGTTATGTTATTTTTCATACTAACCCTTCAAACACCTGGGCTGTCTGATCAGGATTCAGGATCAGACAGCTGTGGTACCGCCTGAGGACAGCCACTATGCAGACGCACAGCCCCGTTGTGTAATTTCCTGCCAGGCTGGAGGACTTTAGGAGCAGTTCAGCTTCCACCACACTCAGCTCATTTAGTAGCTACAACAGAGAAGAGGCTGGATAAAACTGCCGTTGCCCAAGCAAGTAGGAAAACACGTCCCTCCAAAGACCACTAAAATAGTGTCATTTGCTATACCACCCTTCCAAAACACAAGTACCGGCAAGTTAAACTGGTTTTTGCTTGTAAGCTTTAACCAATTTTTAGATTGTTCTTCTGTCTAGACATCAGGTGCATATAAGGAAGTACCCAGTGCTAAATCAGTTACTGAAACTTTATGGCAGCCTAGATTCTGAGCTAGATAATTCTAGAGAGCATCCCCATTCTACATTTTCCCTCCTTAAACGTAACAGGCAACTTTCCATCATTTTCTTCTTATTAATAAAGGTAATGCCTACTATAGAAAAAAATAAAGCCAAGTCTAATATCTGTTCACTAATACTAGAAACAGATCAACTAAAATATCTTAGAAGTACTATGGAAGAGAGGAAAATTATTAGGCTTTAGATTTTTTTTTTCTTTCAACATAAAATGTGCTGTAGAATGGAGGGAAAATAATCTTTCTTCATTCTGAAGACAAAAATTACAAAACTAAAAGAGAATTTTCAGAACTCTCACATATTAGATGATATCTATTTTTAGCACCAGTAATAAGTAATTAAAATGAATGCAAATATAACTAATATACTACTTATACTGTTAAATCAGAATGTCAAATTTTAAAAAAATAAGATAAGAATGAGTATGTTTATTGGTAAAGTTATGGTCAGATACAAACAAAAAGTTTGGGTGTGCTGTTCTACAGCAGGGCGGCCACGGACATACTGTACATTACAAAAAGCTTGAGGAAATACATATCTGTATGCAAAACAAAATTATACAAGAGATGCCTATACCTAAGCATCACAGGGTGTGTGATACGTATGTTTTTACGTATCAATTAAGAAATAAATTTAAGCCAAGATGGCGGGGCACGTCCTAAGTCCTGGCTAGTCAGGAAGCTGAGGTGAAAGGCCACTTGAAGGGAGGCTTCATGCCCAGCCGGGTCATTTGTTATACCTATGGGTACACTTTTTATAAATGCAAAGAAATGGATTTCTTGATGCCTGGCAGAGCTGTTGCCCTCCAGGGTCTTTCTGGCACCTGTATTGCGAAATCAATCAATCCGTTGATATTCAGCGCCGGCTCCATGAGATCAAAGATGAGCTGGATGTGGTGAGCCAGCGGGAGGTGGAAGGAGGCCCCGGAGGCAAAGCTTGTGATCTGCTCCAGCACGTTGTTAGAGATCTGCGGGCAGGGCAGGGCAGGGCAGGGCAGGGCAGGGCAGGGCAGGGCACAGAGAGAGAGGGTCACACCGCTGCTGCAGGCCAAGCCCCCGCCCACCTCAATTCTGACTGCTCAAGGGGGACTCCCTTAAGAGAAACAAAAACCACGTGCAAAGCAAACTCCCTGACAGTTATCATTTGAAGAAACAGGACGTGGTCACTAAGATCTAAGATCTACATCTTACTGATCCCAAAACAATCTATGACTGTTCATGTTTTTAGACAATCTAATTGAATTTGCACCGGACTGTAAAGCAAACAGATGAGCAGATGTGGTTTCTTCTTGAGTTCATAGTATTTTAATTCAATCAACAGATTCATCCTTCATCAACAGTGATATGGGATCAATATGGAATTGAATAAACATTACATTAGGGATTGTTTTACATATTGATTATCATCATCAAATAAAACACTTACACAATAAAAACATATCGGGGGTAGGCAACCTGATACTTAAAAATGAATGGTTTGATACACTCCCAAGTATAGTTGGTAAAATGTATTTGTGAATTTATTAAGGCCAGAAACATATTGCATAGAAAAGCTTTTTAAGGAAATAAAAACATTACACATGTAAACAGAGAACCTCAAATGGCTACCTGAGATGTCACTTGATGCTGATCAAAATACGAAAGGAGCTGGAGTTTTGTGAACACGGCCTCCAGTGTTGGGAAGGCCTCTTGTTTGTTCTTCCTGGCTCTTTGTCCTTCATCGCCAACTAAATAAACGTATAAAATAGATTATTTTTGCATTTAAATGAAATGCTTAATTTTAAATACTTCTTACAGAGGTAGGGCATGCACTAGGAAAGTGAATAATTACACATTTCCACAACATGAACGCATGCCTGTCATGAAGGAGCCCCCCGGAAAGCCCACCCAGCACTTTTCATGCTCCTCACCCATGAAGGGGTGGCTCATCGAGTCTCCCTGCAGCCTGGACTTCGGGCCCCCATTTGGAGCTTTACACAGATGACTCACACAATGTATACTTTCTTTCACTGAACAGCATTGTGCTTTGAAGACTGAGTCATTCTTGATGTGACTTTGGCATGTTCTACAAATGAATACCCACATCTGGCACTGCATCATCAATCCCAGAGGGGAGTATCTATATGCTGGCTATCCTGAAAGCGTCCCTGGGAACATTTATGACTAAAGGCTGGCCTTGATGGACCAGGTACTTCCCGGGCCCTTTCCTTGGAGACTCACCACTAATCTTTTCTGAATCAATTTAATATGTATCTTTTTAAAAAGAAAGACATGTACATAATTCCAAACTGTTTAGGGTCAGTAGAGGATCAAATCTCACCACATTAGAAAAGTACTATGCTTATCTCCTTAACATAAGGAGGTTTGAAAAAAATTCCAACTAAAAATACAAAACAAAAACCTGAGTTTAAGGAAGACTCTTGTTCTTAACAGTTTAAAGAACTTATTATAAAACAGATTTAATCCTACTGTAAAATATCTTAAAATGTCTTTACAAAACCAAATGGATTATATGTGCTATAAGGTCCTTTATAGAACTTTTATTCTAAGTGGTCAGAAGCAATAGACACAAGTTCTGCTGTCCATAGGTCCTTTTCCTTTTATTGGGAGGTTTACTTTCAGGGAATTAATGTCACTTTACAAATCTCTGTTAAAGACCTAAGACATGAACAAGATGTAACCAATCTCCAGGGCTAGGGTGCAGCTCATGGATTCCCAGCACCACCAAGAAGAAAACTTAATTCAATGAACTTGAGAATAGTTTGCTAAAGGCAAATGGAATACTTTTAGAAAATAAATTTAAAAGGTGAAGCCCCCTTTGACAATAAGCAATTAATATTATAGCCAAACACAAAAACAAATTAGACCGATGCATTCTAACTGGCTAGCACAAAGCAAGTAGACATTGTTACCAGATGAATCGACATGAAGAGGTGCTGAGGTAACGTATGTGAGAAGCCGGTATCACTTTTGTGATACTGACTTCGTGAATATCTATTTTTTTGGGGGGGGGTCCGGTCGTGGGGCCTGAACTCTGGGCCTGGGCGCTGTCCCTCAGCTCTTCAGCTCAAGGCGGGCACTCTACTACTTGAGCCACAGCGCCACTTCCGGCTTTTTCTACTTATGTGGTGCTGAGGAATCGAACCCAGGGCCTCATGCATGCAAGGCAAGCGCTCTACCACTGAGCCACCTTCCCAGCCCCTTGAATATCTATTTTTATAAGCACAAATTGAGCATGGAATTCCAACTTCGTTCTAGCTGCACATGTCACGAGCACATTTAAAATACCAAAGGTTTTTATTTTCATTCCTAACATCATTGATCTAAGGGCTGAAGAACTTCAATAGTTTTGCATGCAAAGTGTTTCAAAAGAGAAGTTAATAATATTTGGTTCTGCCTAGGACCAAAATAAACAAAAATATTAGGACTTGAAGCATGTCCAGCTTAGAAATCACAAATGCACCTTTTTATTTATACTAATCAGTACTACATATACCACATACAGCAAACTTTAAAAAACACCTTATAAAAGTCTAAACTTGGGGCTGGGAAGGCAGAGTGCCTGCTCTACCTTCAGTAGACTGCTCAATGGTTCAGAGACGGCCTCCCATTCAGGAGGCCCTGGGTTCGATTCCTCAGCACCAAAAAAGCAGAAAAAGCCAGAAGTGGCGCTGTGGCTCAAGTGGTAGAGCGCTAGCCTTGAGCTGAAGAGCTGAGGGACAGTGCCCAGGCCCTGAGTTCAAACCCCATGACCAACAACAACAAAAAAGTCTAAAACTCATTAGTGGAGGTTCTCAGAAAAATACTTAATGTAATGCTATTTACCTGAGTAACACTAGTCATAATATACAGATGTTCTTATTTATTTTATCTTCACGTGCTTTCATAACTTGTATTGTTATTCTTCTGTTGCTTAATTTTAATTATTTTTAATCTTCAAATTTTAAAATGTTGAGATATTATTAAAGTTCACTTATGGTTTCAGAAAAACATCATTAACACCCTAAAAAAGATGACTTAATAAAATGTTAAAATGAAGTCTGACCATTCGTAAATTGCAAATGTTTTAAACTTCAGGTTAGAACATGCATACTGATGCATAATGATGGAATTAAAAATCTTACTAAAACCTGTTAAGACTGGGAGATTGAGAGGGAGAAATAGAGAGACAATCTGATTAAAATACAATATAAGTATGTGTGAAAATCATGGTGAAACTCTTAACTCAATTATTCCACCCTATGGAAAAGGAATGACAGGAAAGTTACGTAACATGGTTCGGGGAAAGGGGGGAAAAGGTAACAGTGGGGAAGAGGGAAGGTGATGTTTGTTCCTCAAAATCTTATTTTTAAGCCAAATGCCTATGGCTCACACCTGTAATCCTAGCTACACCAGAGGCGGAGATCTGAGCTTTGCAGTTTGAAACCAGCCCAGGCAGAAAAGTCCTTGTGAGACTCTTATCTCCAATTAACCACTCAAAAACTGGAAGCAGAGCTGTGGCTCAAAGTGGTAGAGTACTAGCTTTGAGCACAAAGAGGCTCAAGGACAGCGAACAAGACCTGAGTTCAAGTCCCACAACTGACAAAAAAAATCATATTTTTATGTGTTCCCGAAAATAAAATGGATGCTACACACAAGCTCTTTTTTCCCCCAACGGGCAAATTTCCATTCATTTGAAGTACAATCAGCTAGCTTCAGATGCATATACTAACTTTAAGTAGTGTAACTATTTACAGATGGTGAAAATTTCACGCCTTACAGTATCTTTGAATATGTCGCTTCAAAGTGGTGTTTCTGACACTGATATCTCAAAAAGCAATATTGAACAAGTGATTTTCTCTTTGTGAATTTATGTTCTGGAAATACCTATTTAAGGAACTGGTACATAGACAAAAGAGTATAGTCTGGCACTAAAAAAAACACGAAAAAGATAGCATGTTACTTCCCACTCTTTCCCACCTTAGGCCTTCCAACACTGGAAATTCCCGTGTACAGAAATACCATCGACAGGTAATTTAGATAAACTGCGGCTCCCACCCAAAACTGCACAGCACTCCAAAAATAGTTGAACAGGCTCTTGGCAGGACCCAAGCCTGGTCTTCTATTGTCCCATATTTCCTCTTGTCTCTGAGAGAAGAGAACCAAACAACAGACTGATTTCCTAGACAGAGAACTTTCCTTTTTGAGCTCAGCAAGGGGGGGTACTTCCCATCCATGGCCCCAGGTCCCCGGGGGTGCCAATCCTTTTCTGGTAATGAAAAGGACCTAGAAAATGTGACGCAAGAGCTGTGTTTAAAACTACCACCTCAGCTATCAGAGGGCCAGAACGTCGTATCAGACTGAAACACGTCCTGCCTGTCCCTCGATTCTTACTGACAGAGGGAAAAAGCTGGTTGAATTATTTGTACAACTATGTTTTTCTCCAGGGAAGACCTAGCATGAAAAGCCTTGTGACTTAGTTGCTAGTTGAGTTGTACAGACAACCTGGACGAGGACAGCTTTCCATCATGTGTGGCAACCGTGTAGCTGGCACAGGGTAAATTCAAACATTCTTCTCCATTCAAATTAATAAAGTAGTTCAGAACAACACATGGGTGGTAGAGAAGGGATGACATCATGAGATAAACAAACCTTGGAAAGAGTCATTAAGCAGATGAGAAGTAGATAACTACAGAATTTTAATTACACAACAGGGTGACAGAATATAAAGTCATAGCTTTACTATAAAAATTATGTAAAAAGCCCTGGGAAAGAGAATTCCCAAGCAAAGAAAGCATCACCTTGCAACATCCAATTGTCTTTCTTACTTAAAATTATTTGATGATATAGTAACTGCCACTATCTGTTACAATGACCCTTCTGGATAATGTATGAAAAGACCAGCAACTATGCTGGCAGGATTTTTCAGCTAACATGGAATATGAGTGCCACAGAGCAAAAGCACATATTAAAGAAAAGGGGCAATCCCAAACATGGGTGCTCAGGCCTATAATCCTACCGATGCAGGAGGCTGGGATCTGAGGGTCACAGCTCAAAGCCAGCCCAGGTAGAAAAGTATTTGAGACTCTTATTGCCTATTAAGCACCCCAAAGCTGGAAATGGAGCTGTCGCTCAAATGGTAGAGTGCTGGCTTTGGGCACAAAAGCTCAGAGACAGTGCCCAAGCCCCCAGAACAGCACAAAGAAATGAGGAAATAAGACTTCTTACAGACTAAGGGCTTTCCCACTCACCCTTCAGCACTCCATTACTACTGCAGAAAATGTGTCACATAAAAGAGCAGAGAATAAAAATAAGACCCATAACACCTATGAAGTGCAGTGCATGCCACAAAGGTTGCTATTAATGGAAGAAGGTCTTGGACGTTAAATGTGCTTATTCATATTTCAACATGCCAGTCATCAGGAGGAGGAAACACTGCGACAGCGACATGGGCCACTCTGATAACACCGAGGAAAGGGCACAATGGGAGCCAAGGTGGTGGAGCCCCTTACCCCCTGTCTCTGTGGTGCTCTTCTTGTTCAGGATCTTCAGAAGGTCTTTGGTAATCTTCTTCAGTTGATGCTGCGCTTCCTCACGCTCTTTGCCCACTCCGTAGAGAAGGACTGTGCGCTGGTTACACTCATGACTTGAAGATTCATCCTGGAAAACACAAGATGCCGTCTGAGACCCTTGTCTGTGGAGAGGGGACCGCTGTGCCCGCCTCTGGAGCGCGCTAGCCACAGCCTCCCCGCCGGCCGGGCTGCGGCGGCCCCCCACCACACTTGCTCTCACCACAATCTCCACGGCAACGCCCTGACTTTTCAAATTTGGAACCTGACCAAGTAAAACACAAAAACGTGCCACCTGACCTGAAGTCTTGACAGGAGCATCTGATGTGGGCCTATCCTACAGAGTAAGTTCTGGCTATTGGAAAACTTTTCCTTGTCTAAAATTGAACGTGACATTAATTTCACACATTTAACACACTATCCATTGATTTCTTAAGGAAATTATTGCTTCGTAAGCCTGGTTTTAAGCATACAGTAAGAGTAGGTACTTTATATCTAGAAAAAATTCTTGCTAGGACATTCAAAAGCTTTACACACACACACACACACACACACACACACACACACACACGCACTCACTCACACACTTACTTCCAACATGACTGTGTGAAATAAGTCTGTATTTGTGTCCAAATGGTGTTTCTGAGTTAGAGTGAAGGCTTCTTTGGGTGTAAAGCAGCTGGGGGAATGCAAATATGCCGTCTGCTCTGCCCCCCACTCCTGGCTTTGGTTTTTCCCATATGGTCACAGAACCTCAGAAATGCACACATACCAACAGCAGTTCCTCAGCCAAGGTTAAGTAGCGTAGGAAGTGCTCTTGCTCTCATGACTGGCTTTGATCTTACAGTTAAACTTCTTCGCTGAACAGCTTCCTCAGGCTGGGTGCTTACCCCAAGGGGCTCTTCCCTGCAAGCGAATACCGCTGTGCTCACATTAGTGATGGCCCTAACCAACAGCAAACCCCGGCAGATGCTTGCCTGGAGTCTCACACAGGACACTCCTTGCAAGCAGCATGTTGCTTCTGCAGCCCCGTTTTCTCTCAGCTTTGTCACAGTGCTCCGGGTCTCTATCACCATCTGGCCAGCCTTCCCGTCTGGCACACACTTCCCTTACTAAAAAGAGCACCGCTTGCATGCCTCGCTGACTTATCTACCCCACACTAGCACTCGGGGTTCCAGTGGTTAAATCTGCCTTTAAAGTGAGAGAGACCACCACCTCAGGGGTGCTTCCCCAGAAACCATTCCCCGTTTCAAAACACAAGACACAACAGCTGTAGGAAGCAGCTACGGGCACACCGGAAAGAGCCGAGCTGCTTGCTGATCTCAGGCTTTAATTGTTACAGAACACGAGTGCCGCTTTTTTCCCTTGTTGGGATGTAGATACCCAGACCTATAAAGAGAACAGGAGAAAACTGCGAAACTCAGATCGCGCCCACTGTATGCCCTGGTGACTCCAGGAAGGCACAGGCGACTGGTACCAACACTGATGTCCACGCAGATTAGCTGCGTTATCCAATACCTCTACAGAATGTGCGTCCACATGCCTGGAACTCTGAGAAACATACAAGGAAAAACGTTCCCCATTGTCAAGCCACGGTGTGCTACCTGTAGAGCTATAGGGGAAGGCTTCCTGGGCAGACCTGTGTGCTGGCCCGGCAGCACAGGGCAGCGACAGCCCTGCGCCGCACGGACAGCGGCCCCTGCTGGGCTGAGAACTCTGCCTGCACCTGGCCCAGTCACTTAGAACTCCCTCCCCAACAAATCAGCAACGCCACTGCCCTTGCAAGGTAGAGAGTCGGGAGCACACTGCACACATGGTCGCTGCTGCCAATTCACCCAATGCGAATGACCTCCACGGCACCCATCCACAGCAGCGACCCCACAGTCACCGGCAGCTCCCACCTTTGCCGGTGTCTTCCTGTCACCAAATGCCCCAAAGCTGCACCAGTGCACTGCCGTGCCCTTGCTCACTGAACCACCCAAGGACCAGAAAGGGAATTCTGTAGCATTTATCACAGTGCAGTGCAGTTTTTTAAAGGTTATTTTCATGTATTTAAAGTCTGTCTTCCCTGTCTTCATTTTCATTTTCTTCCTTAATAAGCACCATTGGCATTGAATATTTGTTGAGTATTTGTTGAAGCAAACGAGGGACAAACATATAGCTAAAGAAACGAGGCAGAGATAAAAATAAGAAAAAATAGTTTTACAGATCGCTTAAGCTGATCAAGAGCTGAGGAAGTGAGGGGGAAGAAAAAACAGAAAGTCTTAGAAAAAAATGTCCAGTGAACTGCACTCCATAGAGGGAGGCCATGGCCAGAACTAACTGTACTTAGCTTAGACATGAGGACCAGGAAACAAAGCCTAAGACACACTAAAAGGAAGAAAATCTTGGGCACCCAAATCTAACAGAGCATATGCATCTCATTAGATTTCAATACGAGCCCACTAGAAATATTTGTTGGAGACCCCCAAAAAGCACATGGAGCACTGAGAAAATAAGGGCAAAGATTCTGGATGGTAGCTGGAAATATATGGTGAGTATTATGTGGCACAAGCCGGGCGACAGGTCAGTGATAAAGACAGGCCTAAGAGGGTGCGGAAGCTCTCACCATGCTTTAGAAGAGAAAAGTAGAGCTGAGACCGTGGACAGGGTATGAGGGCATCAAGTGAGGTGTGCAGGCCTCAGAGTGGACAATGCTCTGATGACACACAGCAACCAGAGGAGGGCCACAGACAGAGTGTCCAGGGGAGTCACAGGCCATGGACACACCAGGGGGGGGGGGGGAAGCAAGCCAGACGTCAGGGTCTGAGCTGAGAAGTGACAGCAGGAGAGCAGCAGCTGGGGAGGACGTCGATGCCTGTTTCAAAGCTATGATTCACACAAAGGAGTCTTCATACAGAAATCAAGAATGGAAAGCAGAGTAATGATACACGGATAGGAGACAAAGGACTCTCGTCAAGATTCACAATACAAAGAATCAAACCCCTGGGAATAAAGAAAATTAGAGAAAACAGAGGAAAATGTGCCCGTCAAGGAGAAAGAAACTTGAAGGTAGAATCAGTGCATTGGACATTGGTCTTGATGCATGCGGGCATGCACACACACACACACACACACACACACACACGCACATGCACAAGCGCACACACACATGCATGCACACACACACGCACGCACACACGCGCACACACGCACACATGCACACACACATGCACGCACACACACACATGCACACACGCGCACGCACACACGCACGCACATGCACACACGTGTGCACACACGCATGCACACACACGCGCGTGTGCGCATTTCAACCACATTTCCAGGTGACATGGAGCTGCTACTCTGGACATACGCTCAAAATTCAGAGGAAACAACCAAAACGTGCTCACAGTAGCGGCACCTGCCCATAGAGTGTGGCCTTGGAGATGCTGGGCTTGGGGGTAACAAGTGGTTTGTCTCAACACAGGGGAGCAGCAACTTTGGCATAAAGGTAAAGCGGAAACAAGTTCTACCATCAAGTTTCATTCCTACCGTATCTTTGTCCCTTGGGTTTAAAAATTTAAAAACTGTATATAATAGTGATACTAAGATGCCTTGATTTAATGTTACCATTTTCCCCAAAACTAAAAGTTAAGGTAAAAAAAAAAAAAACCCGTAAAAACCAAAACTGTTTACATTTAAGTTTCTCAAGAAAGCATGAAGAAATTATACAATAAGCAAGTATTCGACTGTTTTTTTAATGTAATTTTAGATTCTGGTCATTTATAATGGGGAGACACTGTTCAGCCTCCAAAGGAGTTAATCAAACACAGATTTAGAATAATGACATTATGAACCAGGGAGGAAACAAGAGCAAGAAGCTAAACATCCTTAACCAGGTCACATTCTGAGTTAATGTAATTACTCGTTAGAAGGTAACCCATTATCCAATGTGAAGCATGGTATGTTTACAGGTGAAAAGCATCTGAAAAAGATGATTTTTGCCTCTTTCTTCAGGAAACAGACTTCAAATGCTTGACTTATGGATTCATTATCTGTATGGAAAATAACCTACGAACTTAGAAATCATCAGCTACTGCAGATTTCAGTGAAAAGCTTGAAAATCTTAAATTACTTTTGGTAGAGATGACTTCTGGCTGCTCTGGTCCTCATTCCCAGGAAGTAAAAGCAGAAGTCCTAGAAGCAGACAGATGGGAAGGCCAGTGCACACACACAGCGCTGCAGATAGATCTCCGATTGTGAAGTTCTCTCTTCCCTCTCTCCTTCCATTTCCCTATAGAGCTCTCAAGACTTTACTGATGAAAGCTCAGCAAATTCTCTACCACAAGTAAGTTTGGCAGCTAACGTGAGACATTAATAGGAAAACACCAGATGCCAGTCTAACGACTACTACCGAAGACATACAAATCCTTCAGAATCTACCATAAGCAGGTAATGTTCTGTCAGTATTTGACATACATGTATTTAGATAAGATGTGTAAATTTTTCTTCCACGTTTTTCTTAAAGTTGTAATTCTTAAGTAACAACAGCAAAAATATACTTGGGATAAACATTAAAATGCAAGTCATATTGATGGTGGTATCAGAAAGAACCATTAATCTCTTCACTAAAAAAATGCGTGGATATAAAAATACAAATTGTATTACCTATTTCATCTTGACTATAAAATGAGACTTAAATATAGACAGAAAGGTAATATTATAAATGTTGAGAATACTTGTAAAATATTTTACTATTTAGCAAAGTGAGTACTCACAAAGGAGCTCAACTGCCAGAGAATAAACAAGAGCAAAAAATTGCACTAGTGAAGGTTATAAAACCAGTGATCTTGTGTCAATAAAGTACAGGATTCTATTCACTTTTTTTGAAGTGGGATTAAGTGACTGGTGACAGTGGTCAAAAGTTTTCACCACACTCTTGATGACTCCAATTTTTTATTTTCAATAATTAAAGGATGAAAAAAGTGAACTCCAGGTTCTTTGGGGAATTTGGAATCACTTCATTTGCCACGTTGAATCTTTTACATGGAAGTAGTGTGGTTTTTCTTTGCTTTCAACATGGTTCTCTGATCATAAAGAATATGTTATGTAAAATCAATTGCACTTGATGCAATAAAAATCTAAAGTTCATGTTAAGTTTCAAGGTTTAGATGCTAGATGGTATACTGAGAAGTCAGCTGTTGCTTTTCCAATAACTGCCTGTTGTGATAATAGCCTACAAAGTCAGAAAAGGGCCTGGCTCTGCTGTTTTACTTCAGCTACCATTGTACACTCTGTAAGTCTAGGTGCACGGTGGTCCTGGCTCTGCTGTTTTACTTCAGCTACCACTGCACACTCTCTAAGTCTAGGAGCACGGTGGGCCTAGCTGCCTTGAGGGGTGGAGCGTGGTGAACACACGTGCACACACCTACACACAAGTATGTGTAAATGTGCATATACACCTGTGTAACTAACGTGTATTTAGAAAATGTACATGAAAATTAAACCTAGTGAACAACTTGGAAATAAAGTACACATGGATTCAAACTGCGTGGGACTAAATAATGGGTCTTTATAAAACAGGTGCTTGAACGGAGGACAGGAAGACAGGGCAGGAATAACTTTCACTTCTGTTTTTCTGTGACTCACTTTGATTTGTTTAGTGAGTTTACCAAGAGTGCTTTCACAATTTCCACTTTTTAATTTAACATCCAATCATTTCTCCTTGTAATCCTTTGATAACACTAAAATAAATAAAGCCAGGAGTAAGAATGATACAGGAAAGTAAGAAATGCAGTATCATCCAAATATCCATTTCCTATGTAAATACAAGTGGGCCTGGAATAAAATCAGACAAGAATTGCAAAGCATCCATAATGTCACATCATAGATGAGACTTTAGGGTTCAGTAACCATCAGACAGACCCTGTGGAGATAACAGCAAATACCATGACTACAAACATCTCCCTTGCTTTCCTTCTCTAGGCAGCAAAGAGAAAATGCAAGCCCTGGCCAACGTCACCCCGGCCCCTGGCAACAGCAGCCAGTGCAGCCGAGACTACGCGATCGCCGAAGCCCTCTTCCCGCTGCTCTACACTGGCCTGTTTTTTGTTGGACTCATCACAAACAGCCTAGCGATGAGGATTTTCTTTCAAATCAACAGTAAATCCAACTTCATTATCTTCCTTAAGAACACTGTCATTTCTGATCTTCTCATGATTCTGACTTTTCCGTTCAAAATACTTAGTGACGCCAAGCTAGGCCCCAGGCCTCTGAGGGCCTTTGTGTGCCAAGTCACCTCCGTTGTATTTTACTTCACAATGTACATCAGCATTTCCTTCCTCGGACTGATAACGATTGATCGATACCAAAAGACCACCAGGCCGTTTCACACTTCCAGCCCCAGGAACCTCCTGGGCGCTAAGATTCTGTCTGCTGTCATCTGGGCCTTCATGTTCTTACTTTCTCTGCCTAACATGATTCTTACCAACAGGAGGCCAAGAGACATTCACGTGAAAAAATGTTCCTTCTTCAAGTCAGAATTTGGTCTGGTCTGGCATGAAATAGTCAATTACGTCTGTCAAGTCATTTTCTGGATTAACTTCTTCATTGTCATTGTCTGCTATACTCTCATTACCAAAGAGCTCTACAGGTCGCATGTGAGGACCAGGGCTGTAGGGAAAGTCCCCAGGAAAAGGGTGAGTGTCAAGGTTTTCATCATCATTGCTGTGTTCTTTATTTGCTTTGTTCCTTTCCATTTTGCCCGAATTCCCTACACCCTAAGCCAGACCCGAGACGTCTTCGACTGTGCTTCGGAGAACACTCTATTCTACGTCAAAGAGAGCACTCTGTGGTTAACATCTTTAAATGCATGCCTGGATCCATTCATCTATTTTTTCCTTTGCAAGTCCTTCAGAAATTCCTTGACAGGCATGCTGAAGTGCCCCAAATCTAGAACCTCATTATCCCGAGAAAACAGGAAAAAAGGACCGGATGGCAGTGACCCAGAGGAGACTCCAATGTAAAGAAATTCCAGAGAACTGCTGTTCTGCTGGGTTCCGGTTCCTTAAATACATCGACAATGACTTAGAAACCCCTGAGGTTTCTAGGGGATATACAGCCACAAAAGTAATTTTCATCTACTTTTCCAGTATAAACACTATCCTAAAATGCAGAAAAGGGCCAAACAACATGCAATTCCTGATTTTCAGAGGGGGCACAATGGGCAATGGCAAAATGATTTAAACAGGTGGCAAAATGGGCAATCACAAGGCTGTAATTCTTTACAGGCACATTAGTCACAATCTTGTTTTCTTTACTGTCAGATGAGAAAAATGATCAATTTGATATAATAATCTATCCAAAAACAATACTAAGACACTGTATACATCCTAGTTACCAAATCAAATCCTTGCTGATTGATATTATAAGTTTAAGTCAGATGTTGTTCTTGGGATATACCATGTATATAAAGTAGAAATTTATTACTACAAAACCTCAAAGATGTACAAATACAAATTAAATGCTATAAAATCCCAAAAGATTTAAACTAAATGAAATGCTATATCGTGGAGTTGATTTTTTTTTTGATGATAATGATTTTAAAAATACCATTCCAATAAAGGTCATAGTGAATAAATTACTGAAGTAAGAGAAGCTACCTTTATGACAGGCTAATACTAAAGAATATTATTAATATTTCCTTAACACTAGAATAGGAGGTTTCACTAATACCTTGAAAACTTCAACAGACACAATACTGTCTTTGACATTTACCTTTATGAATTAGCTTCTGGAGATACCTGCTCTTTGAGTTAACAAACTTTGTGCTCTGGTAAGAAACATGCATTAAATGTACCTACAGATTTGCTCTGCATCGCTAATAAGAGGCATCTGATTGAACTGTTTGGATAACCTGCTTGATTTGTGTGTATAATATAAAAATCCCACATCCACTCTGTCTTCATTTTGTTGTAATTTCTTTGTTCAAAGGTTCTGGTCACCGTAAGTCACCTTCCTCTCCAAAAACATTACAAATCAAACCCACTTCAGCACTGCTGCCAACACTGGTTTATTGCATGCTTTCGGCAATCTCTTCTGAAAATGGCACACAATCCCATAAAATAGGGCAGACCTGGTTTCACACAAGCCTCATTTGATATTTTTAAATGTACTTTCATGATATGTATTTAATGAGCAATACACAGAGAAAGGCCACAGCTGATATTTTTAATATGAACCAAACATGTAACATCATGTTCCTCAAGTATGTACCATCCTCAAATGTCAATATCTACATAAACTGTCAGCAGAAACCCAGAAAGCAGGTTGTAACATAGAGAAGTTTGCTGAGCTTCGATACTGTTACCCAAATGCACACATCATCTCCTTAGCTTCAACGTTCAGTGCAGGACTGAGCACGTGTAAATCTGCCAAGTGCACCTCCGCCAGGTGCGGCTCTTCCTCTCCCAGGTGGCTCTGGCTCTCGGTGGGACAGACCAAGACTTGAACCAAACCACACACACTCTGTGCTGCAAAGCAAGTTGTGGTGATAACTCTCACGGCTGATGCGCACCGTAACATCAGATGCATGCGTTTACTGTTCTGCAGGCACACTGAAAGCTGCAAGGGGACCTAGGGACAGCAACTGGAGTCATCAGACCTCCTGATTCACTAATTAATTAATTTACGTCCATACGTATGCATTTTAACTGCTGCAATGGAAACATCCCAACGAAGACCAGAGCTACAAGTAGCAGCTTACTCACATTTAGTGGGCAATTTATCCCACTTTTTATTGTATCTTCTGTATTCCCTTATCTGCCGCTTTGGCAATTTCTCTTCCACCTCATACTTAAGTCTGTGGCAGAAAGTCTGACAAGTCCAGTAAGCCTTTAGATGATTCCTTTTCATGCCTCAATCTGTAAGTCCCAGATCAAGAACTCTAGCGTTTGGTGAACGATTAATTCCACGTTACCCTGACCTCTGCGGCAGGCACGTGGGCAGTTAGTTCCCTGCAGGGCTTGGATCTGCACCCGGCAGGCTTGCAGTGGGCATGGGGAAAACCACTTCATTTCTGCCAGTTCAGTTTTCTCATTACTAAAACGGGGCAGTCTCTACAGACTGTGGTGAGGATAGTGGTTACTAGGAAGAGTATGCCATCTGCTTAGGGTCCAGCAGGAGTTCACATGTTCAGCTTGTCCTCTTGTGCCAGGCTCCTAAATTCTGGGATTTCTGGTTATATCACCTTGGCTCTACTCTCCTGTCTTTTATGAGCTATCTGCACTCATGTAGGAGTATTTTATTTTTTTTCCAAGTTGATTTAACATGTGATAGGCATTATTCTGAGTAGATGGTAAATATTTTGTCAACTTTATTCTCTTGTAAGCAGACACGATTATTTACTTACATTGTAAACTGAAGGCAACTCTTTCATCAACAGTATAAGTAGCTTGCCCAAAGTCCCAAGAAAAGTAAGAGCAGGAGGAGGAACTGAGCCAGGCCCTGGGCCTGGTATACATTCTAGGGGGAAAGACCTCCCCCAGCTCTGCCAGCCAGCGTGGCTGGTGGTTAGGGAGAGGAGGCCTCTCCGGGAAAGACCTCCCCCAGCCACTCTGGCTCGGCTGGGAGGGAGGGTGGTTAATATAGTTATCAAGGCCCAACACTCTGAAACTCTCACACTTCTGTGAATCCAGATATGAGCACCATTTGTCAGTTCCCCTTTTGAAAGTTTCCCACACACTGGCATTTTGAAATTCAAACAACATGTGATTTCCCACTTTCAGATTATTTTTTGCAGCAAGAGATGGCCTTTATTTCTTTTTCTTCATTGTTTCCTCCTCCTTTGTTTTCCCCCTACCATCCCTTCCCTCCCACCTCCACAACACCCCCCCACACACCAAAGCCCATTTTCATATTATGAAGTTATCATGTACATAATTCCCCTTGTTTAGAGTGAAACTATTCCAAATCTTCTTCTTGGTAACAGAGAAACAAGCTGTACAAAATTCATAATTAGGTAAGTTAAACCCTTTAAACCATAGTTTTAAAAGTATGCTTGGTTTTTGTCCTCAGCTTAAGCAAACAAACTAATATTCTAAAATTTTTTATCTATTATCACATTGGTGAATCTTGACTCTATATTCCAAGGAAAACATGTTTGAGGAGAACAGAAAAATTACAGTGTGCCATACATTGTGAATAGAAAATCCAAATTATTAGGCATTATGTTGCCTTGTATTTTAAAATGTTCAAAGAGAAAATAAATTTTTATTTTCAAAATTCCAAGCCAAGTCATCCAAAACTTTCTGATCAACCAGTCCTGCAGTCTAGGCCAACTCTAAGGTAAAACTTGTGGCAAGGAATATGAAATGAAACTCACCAAGAACGCCACATCCTCCATAAGATCTCTGAATTTCCTCTTTCCTTTCACCTATCTGCCAGGCTGGCATAATTGTAGACAACAACTTTCTCTATACTTCAAGAGACTTAAGGGGAAACATCACAGATTTTGGTTGCCGGTGAGTCACGAAACCCCTGAAGTGTTCTGTACTGCAGACACAAGGTGAATGCGAAGAGTTCCAAAAGTGTCATCTCCACTCAAATCCGCACCCCACAGAGGTGCTCTCTGTTCCAGAGTCCCAAGCCATTTCCTCATAGCACTGCCTTCACATCTGTCGCCCAGAAGAGGGAACTGGGCTGGAGGGGTCTTCATTTACCCACAGTATCACCTAACTGATATACCTGGGATTCTTACCCCAAAGTTTAGGGCTTAGCATGCCTACTACTTACAAAATATGTTCTCTCTCATAGATCTCAGGACTAATAACTAAAACAAACAGCTACAGAACAAATAAGCCACCCTCCTGGAAACAAATTCCTGGAAGAGCCAGTCTCTGAGGATACAGAAGATGGCCCTGTCTGAAGTTGGAGTCAGATCTTGCTCTCCTAGTCGGTTCTAATTTGGGACTATTTCTTTACCATTCCACCGCCTACTACTATGTACAAGAAGCTCTCAAAGCTCGCTGAATACGTACATTGAGAAGACAGGCCAGAATAGTAACTGTGAGAAAAAAAGCAATTTAGCAACTAAATTTACTCAAATCATAGTGGATGTGGAGTGCTCCAAGGGCTGAGCACAACGAGTTTCAAACAGATGACACCGCAGAAGCACACAGTGAAAATGAGGAAGGAAACCCAGCATACAAAAGCAGAACACGTGCTTCGTGATCTCTTTTTTTGGCTGAACTAATGAGTGCCACAATCAGAAGACAGAGAACTAAGGATCCTCTCCAACAAAGGTGAGTTTCACTTTTTCTTACGAATGTGCTTGCTTTAAAAAGGCAGAATATAGTTTCAACAAACAACAGTATTACTTTATGAGCATGAGAATTCATATAAGATACAATAATCTGACATGTATGTTACCTCTTGATGGTGTTTTGTTTTGTTGCTGTGTTAAATGTGGTATCTGTTATCTGAACTTCACAGGGATTTGAAAGTAATAGCACTGTTAAAAAGTACCAAAACCACACTAGGCGTTTAAAAATTTTAGCTAGAAAGGCCTATCTTCCAGACACTGAAGGTATTTACTCAATAGAGGTGGTTAATAGGCTTAAAACATACTTTAAGAAAGTAGTATTTGCAAAGTGTGAAGAGCTTTCTTTTCCTTTCTTGATGTACGTATGGTGTACGGCGCTGGTCTGAAGACGACACCACAGTGATGCAGAGTTTCAACGGGTCTGCGAGCTGCCCCCGGGACACCAGGGTGACGCGGCTGGTACTCCCCGCCCTCTACTCCGTGGTGTTCCTGACCAGCCTCCTGCTCAACACCCTGGCCCTCCGGGCGTTCCTTCACACCCCGAGCTCCTCCACCTTCATCGTCTACCTCAAGAACACTCTGGTGGCTGACCTGATAATGACGCTCACGCTTCCCTTCAAGATCCTCTCCGACTCTTCCCTGGGACCCTGGCAGCTCAGGGCTTTCGTGTGCCGTTTCTCTTCTGTGGTCTTTTACGAGACCATGTATGTCGGCATAGTGCTGCTAGGCCTCATTGCCTTCGACCGATTCCTCAAGATCGTCAGACCTTTTGAAA